CAAAATATTAATTTTATTTAATAATGATATTTAAAAAAAACATTTGTGAAAAATATAATAGAAGTTTACCAAGCGATTTTAAATAATTACCATTTTAGTTGTTATCCTTTCCAATTTCACACAAATCACAGTAAAATGTGCATAAAACTTAGGGAAAAATAAAAATTGACAAAAAATGCCTCTTCTCGGTTTGAACCCACGCCATATTGAAACACTGTGTCCTCACAAAACAATGAATACTCTTCAGAAAGGAGATTCTGCATTAGGCATCGAATAAATTAATCTGTTAAAGGTTTTGTCTAGAACGGACAGGTGATAGAAATTATCTGCTTTCTTGAGATTAAATAGAAGTCTCTTCAAATCAAAAGTAGACGTTGGTTCTATAGTTTACAGTTTTGGTAGAAAATCGTATAAACAAATGTTGGTTTCTATGCATTACCAAAACCTTCGTTTAGCAATAAGCGCATTTCAAACAACACCAGTAGAAGGTCTTCACGCTTACACAGGAGAACTTTTCCTCTGTCTTTGTTTATAAATATTTTCGCTTCATTATATAGCTAGAGTATCATCAAAATAATATAGAGAAAGCCAGAATCCCTAAAGAAAGTCCAACACAACAAAATTGAAAAACTTGTAGACTCGGTTTGATTGAGCCTGTTCATAGACGGTACTGAAAAGTGCAAGTTACCGTCCTCGCACCCTAGCACCGGCTTAAGCAAAATTCAACATGTAACACAAAATGGTGAAAATTTGAATTTAGAAATATCCGCAGATGGTTTCATTCGGCGGTTATAATGGAACCTTCAATGTGACACAGTAGTGCCATTCCATGAAAAGCAGCGTATGGTCCCGAAGTAAAAGAATGCTTTTGCCCTAAACGAGAAAACAATGGGCGGAACTAAAAAAATGGAATTTGGAAAAGGGATCTGAGATTATGAAGCCTGCATATCACAGATAAGACGTCAAAAGACAAATTTAAAAAGCAGGCAACATTATACAGTACTCAAGTAAGAATACTGGAACCACCCAGGTTGAAAATGGCCAAATAGAAGAAACTCAAAGTACCACATAACATGTATACACAACAATAATATCGTGCTGAACGATCTTCAAGGATCGAAAATATAACACCAATGATTAAAAAAAAATTTTTAACATTTCAAACAATTGATTTTAACTCGAGTAGAAAAAATAGTTTGCATACCTTAAAATAGTCCCAAAATACATAATTCAAACTGTCGAAGACGATATTCTTCCGTAGACTTACACATCCTTAGAAGTTATCATCGGTTTTATAAATTTAAAGAAAAGTAATCCAATTCTGAAATGTTTCAAAGAATATTTTCAAAATTAATACACAATCATTTAGTCCGAAAAGTACGGACGGCTCAAAGTATGGTTGCAAAGTAGGTACATCATATTATATCTATACTTTATCTACATGAAAATGCATCTTTACTGCTGATTGTTCAAGCGTTGTCAAACATTCAAGTGTATAATGGAAATTAATTTGTTTTTTTAGATTCCCTTTCCATGTTGTTATAATTTTTTAAAAAGTCCGTCAATATTATGATAAAGAACTTCCTTTTTCATGTTTTAATGACACTTTACAAACCAAGTCAGTCAAAGTATGTTTGATCCAAGCCACGTAGAAATTCGAGGAAATGAAAAAAATAGATGCTTTGGCTAAAACATGCTGAAGTTCTCAAGCAGTTGATTTATCGTCACCAAATATTGATATTAAATCCTCAATATGTTAACTTACATGTAGGTTTGTAAAACTGTATTGAACAAAATTCATTTTATCAACCTTGTCTGATAAATCACCATCTATTATTCTCCTTAACCATCTTCTTAATCAAGTTATTTTTCTTAGATGTAGAGTTGGAAATACGACAGATAAATATCTATACCTTTTAACAGAATATTAAGCTCCATTTTGTAATGAATATTTTCTGTCAAACTTTTCTTTTCTTGCACATGTTCGCTGAAGATTTTATGGAGTCATTCCATTAGTGATCGTTTTGCGTCAGTTTCATCCAAAATCCTGACTGATTACTTAAATGAAGTAGACTTGAATTTTAAGATTCAACTTAACTCCATTTTAACAGATCATCAAATTTATATTATTATTTGGCGTGGAATACCCATTAATATGTCAGTGTCGCCGTTAAACGCAATCAAATAAAATATATACACTTCAATTTTGTTATAAATGTACTTATTTTTACCTAGTATACCTTCTTGCTGTATTTTAACAATTTAAAATTGAAAGTTACTTGTTTTGACTGCCGCATTTTATAGGAATTTCTTTCTTATTCCTAAAAATTAAGTTGCCCAAGTTATAACTGACATATTTTAGCAGGATATATTACTGGTCCGTCCAGGATTGATAGTTTTGTAATTTTCTCTTTGTCTAAAATGCTAACATTAACATTATCAATTAAAAGTAACAATATTACTATGCTCGCGAAAAGTTACTATTAATAGAACGTTAGTTATTCAATGCAATCTTGGACCTGCCTCAAGGAGTGACCCGTGTTCGTTTCATAATTAAGATTTTACATTCTACTATTTGACAATGAACTTTGATTTTCACATTGTGTCCGGACTTTTAGTTCATTTTTTCTTTTGCAATTGAATTCTGTCTTATTCTTGCTTTCTTCAGGACCACATCCCAGTGATTGATAAGGTCTAGAAGAAAGGAAAGGTCTACCTTTAAGGCAACTGCAAGCATATAAGCGTCTTTCTTGACTGTTTTTTCTTTCTATTTTTGGTTCAGTTTTTCTTAGTTTATGATAAATCAGTGGGTCTATTAAAGTGTCTACAGGTAAAACATCTGCATTCTGTGAGGTCCACAGAGGCAAGCTGTAGGTAATATCATAGTTTCAGACAGTATCAAGTGACCTTTTGGCTCGAAGCCCGTCTGTTCATTTTCAATTTATCGGGTGGGGTGTTTATTAAACAGTTTGTAACTTTTCCCTGTAATATATAGTTTTTCATGGGTGAGGACTTAAAGTGACATTATGCCCATCTAAGGGTATATAGTGAGTGAACGGGTGAAGATCAAAAAATGTTGTTTTTTTTTTGTTTTGTTTTTTTGCCATAATCCCTTTTAATTTAATAATTAAGTTCGCATAAACAATAAATAACAGACAGATCCGAATGAAATTTCTGTAAATGTCCGTAAGAATTTACGTATGACGCTTAGTTTATAAAAAGAGTGGTTGTCACAAGTCAGAGATGGCCAGAGTGGGTAGTTCTATCATCAAAATAACTATTTTACACAAAAGACTTTTTACATTTATATACACATTTATTTATACAATAAAATTCAATACATTCACTAAAACTACATAATTTTATCAAATATTAAAGAGCTTGTTTGATAGTTATGAAATTCTAAGTTCACTTTAGTAGTTAAAAGAATTTAAGTATTGTCGCTTGAGAATTTTCTTAGAAAAATATATCAAAACACATTAATTGTCTCTATCGTTGTTTCCACTTAACAGTTTATTTTGCCGTCCAAAACATTATATATAAGGCCACACGAAGTTATCATCTGCTCCGACCATAAAAGGTCAATATTCAATCTAACGTTGTAAGTCATTCACACCGACCACGTAAGGTCATAATAATAAAGGTTACCTCCGACCTATAAAGGTCAATTATTGTAAAAAGAAATGTCACCTCCGACCAACAAGGTCAATGTAGAACAGCAAAATAAAAGGTTACGATTCTGCGTAGATGTTACAATTAATGTTGATCCACGCTCAGCATAATACAAAATACTGCGTGATATTCAGTTGCTAGTGCTTCACACTAATAAAACCATAGCACCATGCACACTCTTGACATTGATATGTCCTTCAGCACCATGACCTATCAATGAAGATTTTTTTCTTACTAGATATTTCACACACATTAAAGTTGAGTAAAACAAATGTATGAAAGGAAAGTATAGGAAAACCCATATTTACAATTTATTTTATTCAACTTATTCAATATAACAACTTTACTTTTATCAAATAATTTTCCATGTACAAAGGAATTCAATGAAAAACATTTACAATTTGCAAATAATTAAATATTTCACTTACCCTGATATCTAGGTAGACAGTCACTGTTAAATAAAGCTTGTCATTAAAATGGCTTTATAAAATGAACACCATTTTCATTAAATTTAAATAATGAATTCTGCCAAGCTCTAACATCATAATTCTTCATAAAACTGAGCAAAACTGACTGAGTGTAAACCTATATGAACTATAGATAACAGTACATTTCAACACATTGGCCAGCTAACTAATACAGGTAAGTGATCACTCAGGTATGAAGGAAACTATTTACAATGGTCAGTATTATAACTGTCTATCCCTAGAAACAGGTTTATAAGATATTATATTTAAAAATAGATAAAATATAATTGATTTTGTGACAGTGGGGCAGTCTTTTTAGATTTGAGGCAGATTTATAATTTTATCCTAAACATTTTCTAATATCAACTGTTGGTCAAACACCATTTCGATAGTCAATCTTTTGAAATATAAAGTTATTTCAGCACAACTTCAGTATGAAGATATGAGCATAATGTCACTTTAAGCAAATTACCGCTTTCACCTATAAAAAGGATCAATCAAACATCCCTTGAACATTTTCATTTTTTTTTGTCGTTTTGAATTTTTTCTTTATGAGTCCTGATTTGTTTATCTTATCATATAATATGTTTGCTTTTAGAATATCAGTGATAGGAAAATGTGAACTTGGTCGTGATGATGAAATAATAAGGATACTGGAGCGTCTAGTCAGATACCCGTAATTCGTAATTCGAATCAAGCCAGTTTCTGTGTGTCATTTCTATTTTTGTTGTATTTTTCTGCGCATTCCGAGCATTCTTCGAAAGCTTGTAAATTAAGACGTTTCTGGTTGTTGCTGATTATGGCTTTGCTCTCATCAATCTGAAAACTGACATCAATTGATTTTATACATTACATTTTACAATGTTGAAAGTAGATTTTGATAACGAAAAGATTGATTATTCACACTTTTACATTTTACGAAGTTCATTAGAATGTTACTTTTGGATTTAAGTTTTGCTTTTCTCTTTTATCAATGAAAGTTGTTTTATTTCATTTACAAGATAAAAATGACAGTTGTCAAAGCAAAGCAACTTATAAAAATTTTAGTAATTTTACTTTTGTGTTATAAATTGTCAAATATTAAGGTAATAAATACAAAATCATTCCATAGAACTTTACAAACAACACCACAGTTTCCAGAAACAAGGCCAAATATTATTTTTATAATTGCCGATGATCTTGGATATAACGATGTTGGATATCATGGTTCAGAAATTAAGACCCCAAACCTTGACAAACTTGCTATGTCAGGTGTACGACTGGAAAATTATTATGTCCAACCTGTGTGTACACCGACACGTGGACAACTTCTAACAGGGCGATATCAGGTATTTAGTTGAAATTTTACATTTTGTAGAAAGTTTGTAAAAATTTATTACCTTTTCAAAAGAACATTTGTGCATGTCATGTACAACACCCAACGTTGAGCTTACTTCATATTCCAAATTAAAACAAAATTATTTTAATCCAAGTATGTCTGGACATTGTCTTTGAATATGAAATACGGACAAAAATAGAACCTGTCGATTTGAGTAAGCATGTTCAAGGACAGTACTGGAAAATGAAAGCTACCGTTCACGTCCCCTAGCACCGACCTTAGCAGAACTCAAAATTTGTTCATTGTTATAGTGAAGGCAGATACTTACATAACTAAAGTCATGTTAGCCTAATTAAAGACATTACGAATTAATAAAGCTTTTCGTTTAACCTGAGATCTATACAGGTCTTAATTGGGTATTATGGCCTGCGACCCCAGCAGGACTTCCGCTTGAGTACCCTACAATTGCAGACAAGTTGCGAGAGGCTGGTTATTCCACCCATATGGTAGGAAAATGGCATTTAGGATTTTATAAATCGGAGTTCTTACCGACCAGTCGTGGATTCGATACATTTTTTGGTATTTGACTTTCATATCTTAAAAAAGATTTCATAACGATAAAATACAAAATAACGTGACAAGTTAAAATATAACAAGTAAATATATTTGAAAACAAACTTACGAACATTCAAAAGATGTCTATAAAGATGAATTATTAATTCAATTTTAATTGGTCAATAAATTACACAAGAATTACATGTTTGTCCATATATGTAGAAGAGAAAAAAATACCGATTCAATAGAAATGATAATTTTAATTCCATTCAATCAGGTTTCTTAAGCGGGCATTCAGACTATTACACCCATATCACGGGAAACTACCAAAGGAAAACAATGATTGGTTATGATTTAATGGAAAATGATAATCCGGCAAATATAACACAATACAATGGCTCTTACTCCACACATCTCTTTGCAATGAAAGTGAAAAACCTTATTCGAAAACAAGATATTGATAAGGTAAAATAGAGTTAAAATGCTTTCTTTATTTCTTGCATTACATCTCAACGAATCTAAAAGAGTCATTTTTCTGGTTTTGACGTATAATGCCTATATTATAACGTTGCCTATATTGTAACAGTGATTTGAGTTTAAAATTGGATGTTCATATGCTAATATTTTCTTCAATATTCTTTAAAAATTTCACTTCATTTTTTATTCCCTCTTAGATATTATTTACCACAAAATTTAAAGATTACGTAAGAATTTGCAACTTCATTCGACCTTTTTGATAAACAAAACCATAAGACAAAAACGGTTTTACTAATAGTTGGCGGACTAAAACAGTAACCTTAAAATAATCTTTTCTTATGAGCTAGACACTAGAAATTGCGCAAACATATTGAGGTACATCTATGAATTAGCTTTCTTTGACTTCGAATTTTTCTAGAATAAATGTTAAATATGCGTTCTGCTAAACATATATAACCGTTGGAATAAATATTAACTTCAGCCGATGTTCATATATCTATCGTTTCAAGCTGTACATGCTCCTCTCCAGGTACCAGACAAATATTTTAACGCGTATCCTTATATCAATGATTTAAACCGACGAAAGTACGCAGGTACTTTTCAAAAATTATTATCAAATTCAAAAAAAATTTGACATAATAATTTTTTGAAAAGATGAATATGCATAATTAATTGAGTTGTGATTCTTCTGATAAGGATATGATTATCAATATTGTTATAAATATTATATAAAAATGTATGTGAAAATATTTAGATCATATTCGATACAAAATTAACCTTTTAAGTAAATTGTACTGTAAGGTAGATTGATAGATATTGATATCCTTGTTAAACTCCGTTTGGCAACAAAACTATTCCGTTTGGCAATAAAGCAGTTAGAATTTGTTTGTTTCATCAATTGATTCATGAAACAGCTTCAAAATAATAATGCAAATTTAAAAAAAAAATCTGTAACAAATCTTTCTTTTGTGAATGAAACTTAGGAATGGTGTCTTGTATGGACGAGGAAGTTGGGAACATTGTTGAAGCAATTAAAGAGCGTGGTATTTGGAATAATACAGTGATTATTTTTACTACAGGTATACATTCGTGTTCTAGGCACAAGATAAATAAATGTCAATCGATACTTAGTTAAGTGATATTTAAATGGCGGGAATTTTTGAAACTAGTCATACTTTTATAACTAGGGGTGACACATGTAGCCGTTTTAATGGATATGTTCGAGGTTTAGCAAAAAAAACGCATAGGCAACACAATATATGGTAACCGATGAAAGTAATAGACAATTTCTTTTATTTAAATAATTACAATAATAGGTCCATATTTTTAAAATCCAAACAATACCATAGTTTTTAATAACAAGATATGTCATTTTATTTGTATTTCAGTTGTTTTCTCTGATTACATGCTATCTGATCGTGTACGGTAATGTCTTAAACGAAAAAAAATTCTTTATAATCGGACTTCTTTTGTCATTATTGTTGATACAACAAAATAGTGTCAGAATGCCATATCTTGTCATACAAAAACAAAGTTAATGTTGAAAATCTAAGAATTTTATTTATACGGTCGGTTAAACGTTTATCACGGTTATTAGGTCGCCGTTTTAACATTTATCATTTTTGCTGACCGTAAAGCCGCTAATCATAACTGAACGCACTATTTAATGAACAAATATACACGTTTTCCACCTCTGCATGGGTTTAATCATAACAATATTTTATTGTTTAATTTCGCTTTATCCCATGCTTGGGGTGAGAACAGTAACTGGCACTTTCAAGCACTTTCCAGGTGTATTCTCATTTAATTCGAGCATGCAACACTTTCAATTTTGCCAGAGTTTACTTTTCTATTTCGACAATGTTTAAAACTAAAGTCCCAACCCTTAAGTTTGACATGTAGATTGAAAATGCGTAAATGTTATTAATAGCAATAGCGCTTAAATTGTATTGTTCTTTATTGTTTTGATATTCAGATGTGATTATAAAAAGCAATAGCAGCATATCATGAAGTGTAATTAAATGCTCCAGTCCTAACGACATCAAAGAGAATCACGTTCAAAAGTATGAAAAAAGCCTTTTTAAAATCTTCAAATTTAAACAAATGAATCATAGCCTAATTTCGTTGCTATATCTAAATGGCCGTTATCATAAAATAAAGTATTATTTCTATTTTCCCTTATTAAACACTTGTTAAGATAATGGTGCTAATCCAAAAGTTGGAGGAAGCAACTGGCCACTAAAAGGGACAAAAAGTACCTTGTGGGAGGGTGGAATTCGCGCGGTTGGATTTGTGAACAGTCCTCTCCTTGGCTTTGGAGAAGAAGGATATATATCAAAAGAACTTATGCACGTTACCGACTGGCTACCTACTATAACAAACCTTGCTGGTGCTTATTCAAATGCATTTGACAAGACAGACGGGATAGACCAATGGACATCTCTCAAGTATATTGTAAATTTTAAATAGCTTTCCTACGGTATTTTAAATGGCTACGTTTAATTATGAAAATACCTGCTTGAAATTTAGTAATTGTGTTCTTTAAAGTAAATCATTATTGTCATATTGTTTTACTATTTTAATTGGGAGCGTTAAATAATATTACACTGTATTACTCTATCATTTGAAACATGTTTATTAATCAAATTAAAACAAAATGTTAAGTAATACTGTGTAAACAGTCGATATTTATTGAGGTATAGCAGTGATTTTGTATATGTGCAACACTATAACAAACATTATTCTTGCAATTTATGTACTACGATGCAGATATATATTTAGAGATGAAAGTCATGCATTCTTTCGACTTAACTGGTTCACATACTGCTCTATTTAAGATACGGTACTTCTACTAAAAGATATGAAATCCTGCACAACATTGACCCAGTTATTAATAATACTTACCATACCAGACGGTTTTCGATGAGAATGGGGGCGTGGAAAATCATGGTCGGACAATCAGGTATAAAAATTAGTTATTCGAAAAGGATTAACTCGTTAAGTAACACATGATCATTCTATTTTTTGTCGTAAAGACAACAATATCTTATTATTCTGAAAATGATATCTTCAAATTTACAAGCATTTCTGACATCATTAAATATAACAATGTTCTCTCTATTTAGAAATACTGATATAGGTGTTATAAAATGATTAGAACTTAAATGAAAGAGAGAAAAAAATCATCAAATAAAGATAGCATGAAATTCAGGCAACGTTTTTTTTATTCTTTGACGTCGAAGTACAATGAAAATTTTGTTTTATTTATTTATTTTTTATACTCTTTATCCTCTGTTTTTAGGTTCTGGAAGTGATAACAAACGAACAAATCCCAAAATGCATTTGTACAATATTGAAAACGATCCGCGAGAGGAGGAAGATTTATTTGAAAAGTTTCCAAATATAGTCGAAAATATGCTGAAAAAGCTTGAATATTATGAACAAGGAATGATTACATCTCACCTTCCTGATATTGATACAAGCGCTGATCCAGTACTACACGATGGCTTTTGGCAACCATGGAAGTAAATTAAGGGGCAGAAAATGAGTAATTAAGTACTATATAAAGCCCGCTCATATTTATACTTGTTTTGTCTATAACAACCTAACAACACCTATAAATATTCAAATGGAAAAAATATAACAAGATGCGTGGCTTACTCTCTATGGGCAGTTGAATTAAAACTAAAATCATATTTATGAAAACTGTTTCAGTCGTCAAATTTGGATAATTAATTAAATTATTCCTGCAAGTATCGGGATAGGTATTTATCTATATGGACATACTTGATATACTAGTATACAACATTCTGAACCCTTATTATAAGGTGAATAATTATATGCATTAATATGCACAACAATTGAGAAACGGGAGACAAAGAACAGCTTAACAGTTTAGGTGTTGATTTATTTTATTTGCATAACTTAACATGTCTATATTTAAATCATTGTTATTTATTTGTTGGAGGTAAGCTGTTTCGCTGTCATTTGATATATTGTTTTCTTTTCATAAAAAGTGAAACTGTATCTCTATCACTTCGCCATAAGTAATGATAAGTAATGTCAATATAATCATAAATAACTTATGGAACCATATAACAATTCTGTCTTTCTTACTTTTTTCTTTCTTTTTTTCTTTCTTTACATATTCGCATTTTAATTAAATAAAATAAGATAAAATAAAATAAGCGTGCATAGGCGTAAATTTTCCAGTAACCAACAAAAGTAATTAAACAAGGATACATATATAAAATGAGCCTAAATGAACTTAAATTAGGTAATAGTTTTAGTATATGAAACGAGTTAGCTACGAGGATATAACACTAGCTGGGGCGGCATCAAAGATCAAGGGATGTTTCCGCTAAAACAAATGTCGAGGCTGTTAGGCCGAGACGATTTGTTTAGAAACATCCCGAGATGTCGCCCCAGCCAGTTTCATATATTTTAACTGTTTTATCGCCATTTCATGAATTTGTTTTGTAATAGAAATCAGCAAAAAGAAAAAAATAGAAACTCCAGATAAAATGAACCAACACCATCTAATCATGTCGTGAGCTACCTTGCAGCTATTTATAAAAAGGCAGTTGTTTGAAGGTGTTTTCCCTACCGCCAAACAAAAAATAAAAAGAAAGAAAGAATAAAACAAGACATGCAACCGTTGAAAATTAAAAGACGTCAAATGTTAGAATGTTAGAGACGGATTGTAAACTGATACCTTGTGGAGAGAGTAATATTGATTAAAGATAAGTGGAAATAAATCATTCGGCGGATGTACCTTTTGAATTTAGCAGTTGTATGTATGAGAATAAATTTTATTTCATTGATTCTCTTTATTTATATTATTCGGAATGTTCGTTACCGATGCCCCATTGGAGTCTCTGTGAAAAAATATCAATTGAGTGTTTTTTCTATATGAATTGATGAAAAAAACTGCACTGCTATATATCAATACAGTTTTCAAATGCTCATTTATAATGGGTTATTATGAACAAAGAAAAAGTTTGAAACCATGCAATAATGTTAAAGCTTGTTACAACAAGGTCATTATGTCTCAATTTACATGCAATCCTTTTTTAAATGCTCTATTAAAGGAAAAATATGGCACCTGAACGTGTTAAAGTGACGAGATTACATTGGCTGAATAACATTCCTTGTTACAAATGTCATTATCTAAAAGTATGAGTAGTAATCAGAAGTAATGGTCACATGGAGCTTGACGTTTTTATTTAAAAATTGAAGGCAGAACTGACCCAAATATATATGTATATCAGGTTAAGTCATTATGAATCAACATACAATTTTGTAATAAGCCAGCTAAAAATCCGATTTACTAAGGGACACCTGATGTATTTCTTCACTAGTAAAGCTGAAAAACGCCATATAACATTTTGTGTGTTGGTGCGACGTTAAACCTAACCTTAAAAATCTATAACTAGCGAGAACTGTTTGTTGTAGATATAGTTACTCAAAATGTTCATAAAGCTATCTATGGTATTTGACAAAAAATTGTGTGATAGGTAATCATTACATAACCATTACTATAAAAACTTATCTTGGATTTATATTTAAACAAGAGTTGTCTAAAGGCACACCAATGCTCTAAGTTCTATGATAGGCAGAGTAGAAAGGAGGCATAAAAGCTCTGCACAAATATTTGATAGCTACAAATGTACCATGATTGTACATATAAGTCTATGTGAAAATGTAAAAAGTGGATGTTTGACAGTTTCTGCGAATTCAAACTTCACAAAACAGTTAACCAGAGAAGGAATATCTCAGTATAATTGTGGTAATGCGATTTAATTTCAGGAACATGCCAATGTGAAATGGAGTCATTTGTTAATTATTCAAGTATGCCAAGGCTTAAGTGAAAAGCTATGATAATTTCTGAAAAACAAAACAAAAACAACTTAAAATCTTTTACAGATGCAAGTGACTTTGACCTTTGAGCTTTTAGGATCTGACTTTGTCATTAATAACTCATAAAAATGCACAGGCGCGTCCACGTCCAAGCCGAAAAGAGGACTATAATAAAATAAAATTAAGTCCGGCGTTTCAAACAGAATTGTAATTTATTTTCTTTATAGATACTGAACATTTTAGACATAATAAGATATATTTAATGAAATATATATTTACATATTTGAAAAGAATTGCTACTCAATGAGTGCACAAATACTGTTAGTGAAATGAATTTGTAAACAAAGGGTCATTATTTCGCATTATTTCGATATAACTATCTCTCGCTTATATAATCTGTTTCGTTGGTGAATTAATTTTATCTATAACGCTTGTTCAATCAGCACAAACAAGATTCATGTAGCATCAGAGGAAGCAAACACCAAAACTTATTCAAATTTATAATATATCAAACAAATATTTCAAAGTGTAGCATTTAGATTTAATCACTTCTTTAGTGGGACTATAATTATTTATTTTTCTGTCCTTTTAGCTTAATTTGTTTTTTTTTCACATGCTAATCATATATATTATATATGTGTATGAGATTCAAGCTGTATATTACTTACCGAGCTCAAAGTTTAAATTAAGCGTTTGAAACAGTCGTTTTTACACTGTATATCGGATATTTGTAAAAACATTTAAGCTGATCGTAAAATTGTTGTGATGGACTGATGATATTGTCCTGCGTTACATTTTCTCATAAATAACGTTTGTTACAAGTTTTGTATTGGATAATGCGCTGACAAACTGTTCGTGCCTACCATAGAAAATGCTGATAATTATCAATTTTATAATGTTTTGCTTTATTTCAAATCAGTCCCTTAGGGGTGGACTGCGTGTATACTATAATTTGTTCGTTTAAATATATAAGTAAAATACTTCGGAAAGCAAAATCTATGATAGGCAGATGTCAGGGCATTGTTGACATGTTCTAATGAATTAAACATGAAATATATAACAACATAGAACATGAAAGTCGAAAATGAACACTGGTATACAGCTACTTTCTGGCAAGTACCTGAAATACATTTGCAATAAAGAAACGAGGTTCATTGAAGAAAATACTGTTTTCTAAATATCTTTATCATGTTGATAACATATTTTAAAAATCATTGACATGGCCACTTGTTTTTAAAGATTCGATTCTCTTCGATACTGTTTATGTTGTGTTTAGTAAATTCATGTTAATATTGTGAGCTTTTTTCTGGAATAAAAATGTTCTTGTCACTTTTTTCAACTCAAAAGGGGATCAGAGGTTATGAAGCCTGCATATCACAGACAAGACGTCAAAAGACAAATTTAAAAAGCAGGCCACATATCCTAAGGGTGATGCAACAGTATTCAAGTGAGAAATACTGGAACCACCCAACAAGAAATTAGCCGAATAGAAAAAACTAAATAACAACAAGCCCGACAATAATGTCATGCTGAACAATCTTTAAGGATCGGAAATATAGCATCTCTGATTAAATGTACGGGGCATTTTTTACAGCCTCCACACGGCAAGATAACGTAATCATTTGATTTTGTATGAAATCACCAATAATCTGAACATCTTTCTTTACAAATGTCGGAACTCAACAAAAAAGACTACAATAAATAGTAATTCTGTAAATAAATAAAAATACCAAAAATATTGTTTTATAGAATTTTTTCTATACTACTGCTATATAAGATTAAATTTGTGGTGAAAATTTAAAAATAAGAAAGAAATTTACATGCTGACGTGTTAGACTTTTGTAAAGTAGAAGTTTCCATGATAACCATATATGCCGTTTGTCAAAATTACCACGTTTTTTTAGAAATAATATAGTTATAACGTGTACATTTTATTTATTCAATAAACACTAATTAAAGGTTTTTTTTTTTTTTGTCATACGAAGTAATAAGTACTGAACACGTATATTTTTATCTATCAACAAACAAACGAACACAGAGAACAAAACGTATTCCACAAATAAATGAATATTTGGACATTTCTTTCATAGATTTTAATTCTTTCTATTCAACATTTTTAAAGGCCTTGCCTCAAAAAAAGCTTTTTTTCAATTCTCAAAAGCTTTTAATTTTTGGTTTCCTGTTTAGTTTCCACATGATAACTAGTTTGTTAATTAACTTGGCCTTCTTTAAGTTAAGAATTGTGTATGGAAGTCAAAATACTACTTTGTTTACAATTTGTCACATTAAAGACAAAAAATGTATATTCAGCACTTCAATCTATAATTGGTTAGTATGCAGTATGCTCTGAGACCGTTTTTTTAACGTTATAAAATGGTGTATGCCCTATCTAAAGAAAGAAAAACTTAATTCTGTCTAAGGCAAAATGTGACGTTAAATATCAATTTTGTTATATTAATGCTTAGAGGAATCTGATGTTTTCTAAACAACTCTCTTATTCTTCTCACCCGTTCCCCTTCTGAACATTTAAAAATGTATTCTGCATTGATTACTCATTTTCCCTTTTCCAAAACGTCTTTAAGACTCTTACAATTTCTGAATAGCAATACATATTAACATCTTATCACTTCGGATATAACAACATGTCATTGTATTTTCTAGACTCAATCAAACCGAGCCTGCTATATTCATGTTATTTTGTTGTGCTTAATGCTTTTAAGGGATCACCGTTTTTCCAGATCTTAGATCTTAGAACTTAGAGGTTTCATAAAGGCGGGAAAACGCCATATTAACTGCAAGATAGATAAGATGATGTAAGTGAGATTTATTAAATTTTATAAATTTTCTTTAATTTTATCTTTTAATTTAAAGAATTGCAGTGGTATAGCTAGTACGTTAAAAGATAAAACCTACGATGAGGGACACAAGCGTAGAAACTAATATCTGTTGACTGTATTTGAGTAATTTCCCAAATTGTCAAATTTGGAATAGTATTTAAAATTGTGTATCTGTTAGTTTTAAAATTATAAAAAAATGTCGCATTTCAATGAATATTAAAATAATCTGATTATTTTTCCTTTTGCAGACTTTTCATAATCCCTTTTCCGGACAACCAAAATTGTCACTAAATGGGCATGATGGTTTGAAATTTGGCTGTTTGTTTTTACACCAGTAACAAGTGTTGTAATAACAGATTTAGCTGTAATTCTCAGAGGGGCGTTTTTAACAAGACTAGAACTTATTAACTTTGTGTGGCATGTAAATGGTTACGGTAATTTCAAGTCATGTTGATTCTGCATCCTCGGAGCGATCTGTACAGTCGACTCATTTTATGGCTCTTAGTATTACTCAGCTACAACTCGCCGGCAGGGATAGCGTCATACTACCCAGACACATTAAACAAAACAGGAATTGCCCCTAGGCTCCTTCGTTTTGAAAGAGGAACTTAAAATTCAACGTTAGCATTGCTTCAACCATTTTTACAGATAAAACGGCACAGAAAGCATATCAGAGTTGAAAAAGTTATATGTATGGAAAGAGTGTAGCACATCAGCCTTTTAGAATCCTGGTAGGGATTACTTTGAAAACAAGGTTGCACTTGTGGATTTCATTTTTCAAGGATCTTATTGATTTCAAACTTCTGATATAAAAAATCGTGTGTACAGATTGAACTCCTTAGATATAATTTTTTGGATTTGATCCAAGCAGAAGTCTACATGATAAGCAAAACCAAAAAGACTTTTGAAATACCTTACGGAAGATCTGATATAATGTATTTCGTACCTAGAATCTATAGTGGGCATAACATACAGATATGATAACTTAAACGGCTTCATTGTAAAGAAATCGAAAAAAAAATAAAATTTAAGTGTTATCGTCGAATAACAAAAAGCTTCTGACAGCTATCAAATGAACCTTGAATTTTTACAGATGATTGTTGAGTATTTACAATGACTCACAAAAA